TAATATAGCCCCCCTCTCTTAGTACCACGACCAAGAATCTCCTTAGTGTGAATATCCTGAAGCAAACAAAAACTCGGGTAAATGAGTACACAACAATTCAATTGTTCAGTAAGCTGACTAACGGACAACAATTTAGTAGATAAAGATGGAACAAGTAAAGTATTAGACAGTGTGAGAGATGATGAAAGTGCAACAGTGCTAGCCCCTGTCACAAGATAAGTAACGTCATTGGCATTTGCAATACAGGTTCGTCGAGGTTGTGTAGTATTCAGAAAATCATCAGCATCAAACGTCATATGATCAGTTGCACCGGAATCAATTATCCAACTCCTGGAATCAATCTTATCGGAAGTATGGAATCCATAACCAGTACCATTACTGGTTGTATTGCATTGTCCTCGATCTTTAAGAGTAGCCCACCAATCGGGGTAGCCATGCAATTTAAAACAAGTCTCACGAGTGTGTCTCAGATCACCACAATATGAGCAATCTAGTCCATGTGTCAGGGTCGTTAGTCGAGAAGTCATAATCTATTCAGCGGAAGATGCATAGGATACAGGTTGAGTAGGAATTTGGATCGGGATCTGAGCCTGAGTCGGGGCTGGAGTCGGAATCGAAATCGAGATCGAGGTCTGAATCATAGACAAATTCGGGGTCGTGGTCATCCTTGGAGTCGGGGTCGGGGTCATCGACGGAGTCAGGGTCGTCTTCGGAGTCGTCATAGTCGAGGTTGAGGTCGTCAAAATAAGATCCTGATTCCGGATCAAGTTCGGGGTCATCAAAATAGGATCCTAATTCAGGATCAAATTCGGGGCCAAAGTCTGCATCTGTAGGAGTTGAGCCATTTGGGCATTCAACTTGACTATAGTTGGTTGAGAAGGAGAGAATGAGTCAGTGGTGCTACCTTAATGAGGGTTGAAAAAATCATCAACCCCCATAGCGGCGACGGGGGTTTGAAACTATAGTTAGCAATTCCAAGATCGCCGCTCTGATACCATGCTAAAATATGA